TAGGGCACTGCCAGCGTGAATTCTGGTTGTTTGAGAGTTATTAGCCTGGAGGATGGTGTACCTGTGTGCTCGACTCCCTGAGCTCAATCTAGGTAAGGTCCTGGTCAATGATATACCAGGGTCAGCTGCATTTTTCTTGCCTTTACAAGCTGAGGAGATTACAACCAATCCTCTCATTAATGATTTATTCATGACAAAAACACTCTGCTGCTTTATCTTCTAGCAGAAGAAAGATTTCATCTTCCACTTAAAAAAAGAGAACTTTATGTAATTAATACCAAAGTGGAATAATTACAATTTAAAAAAATCTAAGATATCTTTCCTTTTGGATAGGCTTTTCCTCGCTGCATCGACACGAGTGTGTGAAACCGAGCTCCTGGTCCTCCTTGACCCTCTGAAGTTTCAACACAAGCCGAGCTGATAGCACATGTGGAGGCCTCCGGGTTATCAGAGGTAAACACAAGCTGGAGCTGAGTCTGAGGCTCTGATTTAAAAGCAGCAGTCCTGACCTCCAGCTCCACACGTTCACCCGTCTGCCAAACAGATGCACTGCTGTGGAAGCGAGCGACAGACTCGAGCCTTGGAAGAAACAAGGTTATAAAAAACACAGAGAACACAGCTACTTTTAGCTAGTTTAGCTTTTTATTTCATTACACTTTTTAACTTTAGCTTATATATAATATATATATATATATATATATATATATATATATATATATATATATATATATAATATATATACCATACGTATACCATACCATTTTATTTATAGAGCACTTAAAACAGCTACAAGGCCAACCAAAGTGCTGTACAGACAGAACAACAGAGAACACACGAAGCAAAATTCAAAAGTAAGTAAATTAGAATATAGACATAAAAACGATGCAGATAATAAATATGACGACAAAACAGTGTGGAGCGCACAGGTTTAGAACACAGATCATCTGGTGTTGAAAGCTACTGAATAGTAGTGAGTTTGTAAACGGGATTTGTAAACCGAGAGGGAGGGGGCCTGTCTGACAAGCAGAGGTAACTCGTTCCAAAGTCTTGGTCCTGTTACAGAGAAGGCCCTGTCACCTCTGTGCTTAAGATGAGTTCCTGGAACTGTGAAGAGCAATTGGTCCACTGACCTCAGGGAATGTGGTGGGACATACGGTTGTAGCAGATCAGAGATTTGGGGGGGGGGGGGGGGGGGGG